TGGGAATCACAGAAGCACATGTCTACAACTGTAGCCTAATCAGCAGCCATCGTACCAAAAACATTTTTAAATCACCACCAGGGGGTGATGGTGCGCTTTATTACTTGATCGGCAAAGACTGGACTAGATTTCCGGTGGCAAACTGGCGCGTGCTGTCTATAGGAAAGTCATCACAGTTCCCTTCTTTCCCACTTGCCATGGCTCCAAAGGGTAGAATCTAATAGCAATCCTGTCAGGAGAGGATGAAGACGGTAGAAGATCAATTCTGATTGCTCATAAGAAAAAACACTTAATTATTTTCAAAAAACATTTAGAACTCTCGAAAGTATGTGCAATTCACATGCCAAATTTCATCAAAAGCAAAAATAGTGACTCAAAGGCCATTTGTTGATTACAATGTAATGACACTAAAAGTAAATACAAAGCAACATATGATCACCACTGTGCCAAGCTACCATGAACCCTTGAACATAAAATCCTGGTTATGCTGGATTTGTTATCACTGATAGTTGCTCTTTAACCTGAACTGTGTTCAGTTTCTTACAACACAGACCTGTCTTCACCGAGTCCCAGCTCCTCTGTTAGGAACTTGAATATCTGGGCACTGTTCTCCTTGTTCTTCTCAGCTGTGTCTGTCACTCCGATGGCAGACACCTTGAGCAGGATGCACGGTGAACTAGATCCAGCCACCAGCATTGCCAGTCCAGGCTTAACTGACAAGTTCATCCTCTGTGATGAACCAAAGTATGTTGACATATGATTAGATGATCATACCATTATCAGTTTTGCACACGGCAAAATCTTCATACTTATGATGGTGCCAGCATTTCGTTACCAGCTTATGGTTTACTAACCGCAAAAGACATTCAACTGAGTTCAAAACACTACCGCTGTTTTCTCTTATTCTTGCTTACAAATAAAAAGTTATTTATAATCGGTACCACCAGTATGCAATGTTTCTCTAGAGAACACGATGAAACGGCCTGTACCAAATCTACATTGCAAACCCTCTTTAAATACCCAACTAAAATTAAATAGGTCAAACATTTTACTTTATAAAATACAGCACAACGGGAGTTTTTCGGTCGGTTTTCACAACAGCACGACTTTGTTTGAAGGTCGATTATATCCTAATTTTGGAATGAACTGGCTTGTAAGACAGCTACATGCACGTTTCCAGCTACTTACATCCTCGGGTTTCCCAAGAACAGCAGCAGTAGTGGAGCACAGCTTTTTCAGAAACTCCTCCGGAAATTTACTGGCAGGTAAGTTGCTTTCTAAGTCAATGAACGGCATTATGAATTCGTAAATTCGCTACACTTAAAATTTCACCTTTCTACCTGCACTATGAACACTCCGGGACCCTCCTTGATAGCTTGATCTGGGATCAGTTTCCTTGCCCAATCCCATTCTTAACTTTTTTTATAGGATCTACTCAAACCGACCACGAATCAGTGGTTCGGGACTCAGAAAGGCATTTACAAGTATGCGTTTGCTTAGTGACAGGAAGTGATGTAGCGCCAGCTCTGCTGATTGGCTGGGTGAGAAACGCCCATTACTGAAAAAGAAGAAGGATTTTTTTTCCTTTTAAAAGCTTCTATTTGTATGTGTGCATTTGCCTTCATGATGCCTCCAGTATTTATGTATTTTTCATATCTACCCAAATGGCCCCACCTTCCCAAAAGCCGCGCCTGGTAACAAGAAGGCAACCAACTTAGCATTTTTTACACATTTGTAGCACATTGATAAATACAGCGTACATAGGTTATGCTTGAAGTAGGTAACCTGTTGCGGCCGCATTTGATGTTCGTGGTCTGTATAACGTTAGGTCTTTCATTTGGCAGGGTAAGATCTGGCATACCTAGCTATTTGGTTTGTTTAGTCCGCGGGTGATTGCTGTGGTGCTGCCAAGTGTCAAATCGATGAGATAGTAAATTAATAAATAAAAACTTGCGCACTCCTTTAAGGAAAATATTTCCCGAGTACTGTAAAAACAGTTCTTACTATGCTGAAATTTTTCTCCAAATAAAAAAGACCGTTGGACAAAAACTGCAATATACTGCCTTATTTTCTGTCACTTAACAGTAAGTGAACGTACATATAAGTGTCTTGTCTTTGCTTTTTCAAATTCTTCAGAAGACTTCCACAGCTTACATGCTGATATGGCATTTGTCACAACCCAATATATAGAATAATTTTATTTTCATACATTTCTTCTGTATTTGTTGTTTATTTTTATTGTTTTACATCTGTTTTATTATTCTTTTACTTATATTTCAGCACATATTCACCGAATGGTATCACTTAATGGTTCTGTGATTGTAGTATTTTTTTGTTTGCTTTTTTTTGAGTTGATTTTATTTTTTTCCCTTTCCTTCTCTCTCCTTTCCAACACTTTGATTACATCTTGCTGTATGTCTTTGACCCTTTCATAAAAAAAGTTATATGTATATATAGAGAAATAGATGCATGCACAAACTCAGCTTGTTAATTCTAAACAATATTCTAAACTGGATTTCTAGGACAAAAGGCGATAAAATTACAGTTACATTGAATGCCCTTAATCTTACCATCCAAAATGGCATCTCTTAGGCTAACCTCACTATCCTTTCAAAACTTTATGACTGAAAGACAGGACAGATTTATGTCCATCTCTGTGCTTATAATGCCAAATATAGAAACACGTATTTGTGGACACTTGTGTTGTTGAGTAACAACCTTGAGCTCAAAGCCCTGAAGACAGTGGAGATGATTGTGGACTTCAAGAAAAGCTCTGCCCCACCTCCACCCATCTTCCTGCTCGGCTCAACAGTCACCGCTGTGGAATACTTCCGCTTCCTCGGCACCATAATCAGCAAGGACCTCAAGTGGGAGATGAACATCTGCTCTCTCACCAAAAAAGCTCAACAGAGCATCATTCACTCTGCCGGGAAGACGATCGGCTGCAACCTTCCGTCTTTACAGGACCTGTACGAGCAGGAAGGGTTATGGCTGATTCCTCTCACCCTGGTCACAAACTCTTTCAGACTCTGGCAGAAGGTTGCGTCCATTGAGACCAAAACATCACACCATAGGGACAATTTCTTCCCCACTGCAGCCCGCCTCACCAGTAAGGCCAGGAACACTCACTCGAATACTGTTTCCTCATCCTAGTATAATTTGCACTCTCTTAAATATATA